AAGTTTAAAGATTTGTTCAAAAAGATGAAACTGTATTAAACACTAAAATTAATAATTTTTTCTCAACAAACCTAAAAGACTCAAAGTTATTTTAATACATTTGTTAAATTTCTTCTTCAGTTCACATTATTACGTCATATATTACGTCGTGGTCTATTTTTTAAACAACATTTATAATAAAGCTCAGAAAATAAATATTTAAAAAAAGAAAAGTTTAATAAAGTTTTGTTTTAAAAAAACTGGATTCCTCGCGCAGTTGGTCTGCGCAACTTCCGGTTTCTCTGAGGACTCGCCAGCTGATCGAACTCGTTCCTCTGCAACCTGATCAGAACCGGGACGCTCCAGGACCGGATCGCAGCAGGTAAGTCCACCTGTCGTGTCCATGGTAACAGCAGACCCATATCCAAGCCGAACCGGAACACGGAGCTGCAGGTCCGGCACCGAACCGGGGGTCCAACGGGTCCAACAGGATCCTGGAACGGGTCAGACTGAGATCGGCCTGGTTCTGTTCACCGGGGTCCGGAACCAGAACCGTAACAGGAAAAAGGAAATGACTCGGCTGGGCAGGTTGGGTAGCTAATCAATGCGTGAAAGAAACACGGCAGAGCGTAACCATGGTAACAGGGTCCACCAGAGATCTTCGCCCGGAGAGATGATCACTCTGTCATAAATCCACCCTGGCGGGAAGCAGCAGGTTTATTCACATTTGGAAATAAAGTCAAAGTTCATTTACTGCTCAGCTGACCGAACAGCTACACAAATCATAAAACAAAACAAAAATTAATAAAAATTTTGTAAAAGTAAATACCAAATAATAATATGAATAAAAACCAAACATGCTTAATTTCAGCTGCAGCGATTTCCTTTTATAGAATGTGTATGTCAATAATTCTCAATGAAATCGCTCCTTAAAGGATGAAAACAGAATTTCTCTGGTTAATAAAACAACGTTTCACGAACATCACAACGATAAACTGCAGCAGCTGCAGCCTTTATGAGCGGGAGGGTCAGAGGTCACCGGCAGGAACCACAGCGCTCTGCAGGACGGAAGGGCCAGAGCAGCCAGCAGAGGGCGCTGCTGGGCACCTTTAGGATCTGCCATGGAGTCTTCTGGAGTCTGACCCCTGCTGTGACGTCATGCATCCTGTAGATTATGGAGGCTGGACCAGCCAGGTCCTGGTTCTGGTTTTGGTTCTGGTTCTGATGTGCTTTAATTGTCTCCAGATGACTGCAGGCAGCCAATCAGAGAGCAGAGGCGGCAGTGATGTCGTGGGTGGCGCAGCGCTACAGTGACATCAGCCCTGTGACTCTGCAGGTGGTGGGCGGAGCCATGAGCTCCAGCCTTTACTGCCAGCAGGTGGAGGGTCTGTCGCAGGTGGAGTCCTTCCTGGTGGAGCTCTTCCGTTGCAAGGTGTGTCAGTTCACTTGCGGCCTGAAAACGGCCATCGGCAGCCACTTTCTGCTGCGCCATCACCCTCCCGCCCTCACCTGCCTGACCGGACCCGACGGACAACAGGTGAGCCAGGAGGGGGCGGAGCCAGAGTCGCCATACCGGCTGAGTCTGGACGGAGAGTCCAAGCAGAGCGACGAAGATGAGGAATTCCTGCTCTACGACATGCTGGGTGGCATGAGCCCGCCCACCTGTGACATCAGCACAGAGGAGGGGCTTCAGGTGGCACACACCTGCGAGGTAACACACACACCTGCGAGGTAACACACACACCTGCGAGGTAACACAGCCCTGTTGGACTTTCTTCTTCTTCTGTGGTGCTGCAGGTCAGCACTCTGTTTGAGGAGTCCTCCATGTTCCCCCTGAAGGGGGCGCCGATGGAGCTGTCCTGTCCCACCACGCCTCCCTGCACCCAGGAGCAGACGGACCAGTCCGCCCAGTCCGCCCACCTCATGACCCTGGGACTCTGTCGGATCTCCTCCGTCAAGCCTCCACCCGCCGACGGCCGAGACCAGAGGGCAGGAGAGGCTCCGCCCCCTGGCCGGCTGCCGTGTCCCCTCTGTCCCCTGACGCTCCCGTCCGAACGGCTGCTGGACGTCCACGTTCGGTCACACCGAGCCGCTGGCGGCTTTGGCTGCAGCCGCTGTGGCCGGACAGCCGACAGCTGGGAGGTGCTGGAGCCGCACTTCAGGAGGCGCTGCAGGAGAGGAAGGAGGAGGAAGAGGAGGAGGAGTGGCAGGTCGGGTGGAGGGTCTGCTCAGGTTTCTGACTGGCCTTCAGACAGGTGGAGGGCTGGGCTGACCGCACCACAAGACCCAAAGAGGGCGGAGCTTCCTGACAGGTGAGTCATTTTAACCAACTACACATCAAGAGGTGGAGTGAGCAATGCGGGTGGCGCGGCTGGAGCTGGTGGAGTGGGTGGAGCTGGGTGGAGTGGGTGGAGCGGGTGGAGCTGGTGGAGCTGGGTGGAGCGGGTGGAGCTGGGTGGTGTTGGTGGAGTGGGTGGAGTTGGTGGAGTGGGTGGAGCGGGTGGAGCGGGGTGGAGTGGGTGGAGTGGGTGGAGCGGCTGGAGCTGGTGGAGTGGGTGGAGTGGGTGGAGTGGGTGGAGCTGGTGGAGTGGGTGGAGCGGGTGGAGCGGGTGGAGCTGGTGGAGTGGGGGGAGCGGCTGGGGCTGGTGGGGGGGGTGGT